ATTGGTCGAGTTCAATTTGGACTCCATGTTGACCGAAACCTTGTGCCCTTCTTGCAAGGCCTCCTGCACTGAACCCGGTCTACAATATCGTGGTTGGCAACTAGGGCATCATGGCTGCTGACTCCACAAACCGAAGCGAGTTTGCATGGTGCTCTTCTCGGTGCTCCACAAACTAAACCCAACACCTACCAGATGGGATTCCAACCGGAAGGGATCAGGATTTCATGAAATACTGCATCAGCAAAAAAGCGCGTTGCCATCCGAACAATTCCGTTTCATCTTATGATCTCCCATATTTACAGCGTGATGTCAAGATTCCAGGTGGCGAAAGCTGTCTTCCATCAACAGCTATGAACCCCCCAAAGGGCATCAGACATGAGCATACATGACCTACGGTCAGCAACCAGGTGTCACGACGTGTTTCCCAATAGACCCGGGCCAGCTTTGACAACTCGCAAGGGTCCTATACACACTGATCTTGGATCAGATCTGGTGCCCTCCCCCAGGTGCCCTCTGCAAGCCCCTTGCGGTGTCCCCGGCAGCCTTCCCGGCCTTACGCCCCACCAGGCAGTGGCTCAGCAGAAACCGCCACCGACGGGAGCCTCCGGCTCTGCCGTTGCACCTCAAAGAGACCGAGGCAGAGTGCCAAGCTCAACGAATGTGCATGTACAGGGGATGAGAATGACGCACCCTGATTCTCACTATTATTTCTTGATTGCTCACTACCGCACATGCAAAAATGGGAAAGGGCGGAGTTTGTCTGGCTTTGCACCGATCGTTTTTCCTTGTGTTCGTGGGGAGGTCCCAGGAAATAACTCCAGGTCCATCTTCCTTACTTGTTCAGGACACATGCGCGTTGGGCAGGTGCAGCTGCATTGAGGACGTTGGTGATTTCAAGCTTAAGAATGCTTAAGATTGGCTACTTAAGATTGGCTAAAGATCGAATTCTTGAGTTGCGTCTTTGATGAGTTTCCTCTCGGCGCTCTGTGGTTGCCTTCAGCCTTCTCAGGCGTCAATGAAGGAACACATGCTTTGTGGGAGTTGTGGGTTCGTCCTGCAGGCACAACAAACCAAACTTGATTATGTATGTTGGGTGACTGCGGTCAAAGCATGATGATTCTAGTTACATACGGTCCAACCTGGCCTTTGGAAAACTGAGGACTGAGGTAGGGACATGGTAGGGACAAACTGAGTCACAACTTGATGAAAGCAGTTTGCTTGGTGAAAGCACTTTGTCGATTTAAGTGGTCACAAAGACCCGTCGGGCATGGGATGTGACCCAGCTGACTGTCCCACAGGGGTTGGAAACGGTTTGAGCATCCTTTAGTGCCAAATGGTGCCGAATAGAAGGATCAGGGCCCTTCTTGGAGACTCAGCTTTGGACTCATAGTGGGATGGAGGTGACTGTTTGAGCCATGCGTCTCCGCAAGTTGAGGTTGGGAATGCAATCCTCCTCTAAGCCTGCACGGTGCGCCCTTCTTCAGACGCTACACATGTGCACTGGATCACCCCATGCAGCCCAGGCTCGGCGATCGCACACGCTTTGTTTCCGGCAAGGCGGCGCCAAGGGCGGCGGATCGCCCGCCTTCTGGCGCTACGAAGCGGTGGGAGGACCGTCTAGATCGAGATGCTGAAATCCGGCAAGCACTTAATAGGCTATAATAAGCTCATTTGCAGCTCACTTGGAGAAGCTTGGTCTGGTTTGAGGCCCCATCTTAGGGTACAAGCCAAAGAGTCGGAAGTTCTCAAGCACTCACAAAGTCAAGGTGCCTTTTTCGAGCTCACAAAGGTTGAGGGTTCTTTGACAAAGAGGTGCAGCCCTCAAAGGCATCTTTCCCTATAAAAGTCACAGAACTGGGAAGCGTCAAGTCCGCTAATGACCTGCAGCCTTTGAAGGCATTCTTGCCAATGGACGTCACTGAGCTGGGAATCGTCAAGCTTTCCAAGGAGCTGCAGCCTGCAAACGCATCATCCCCAATTGAAGTGACCGACTCCGGAATCGTCAGGCACGTCAAAGAGCTGCAGCCTGCGAAAGCGTTCGACCGAATGGACGTGACAGAGTCCGGAATCACGAGGGTTGGCAAGATGCTGCAGCCGGCAAAGGCACTGATCCCAATGCTAGCAACTGCATGCGGTATGGTCAAGCCCTTTAACGAGCTGCAGCCTGCGAAGGCATACGCTCCAATGCTAGTCACAGATGTAGGAATGGTCAAGTTTTGCAAGGAACTGCAGCCAGCGAAAGTGTCAGCCTCAATGGAAGTCACAAACGTTGAAATTCTCATGTTTACCAAGGAGCTGCAGCCTGCAAAGGCACTTTTTCCAATTGAGGTTAAAGAGTCCGGCGTCGTCAAACTTGTCAAGGAGGTGCAGCCTTCAAAAGCGTTGCCACCGATCTCATTGACAAACCCGGGAATGCTCAATCCTTCTAACGAAGTGCATCGCGCAAACGCGGACTGCCCAATGTGAGTCAAAGCATTGGGAACTCGGACCTCTTTCAATGACCTGCAGTCTTCAAAGGCAGCAAGTCCGATGGAAAGCACCGAGTCAGGGAGCTCCACTTGTTCCAAGAGGACACATCCTCGAAAAGTCTCCTGCCCAACACTGGTCAATGCACCTGAAAGCGTCAAGCTTCGTAGGGAGCTGCAACCACAAAAGGCCGCGTTCCGCAGGTCCGTCACGGAGTTCGGAACGGTCAAGCTGGTCAACGAGCTGCAGTCGAGAAAGGCACCATCCCCGATAACTCTCACAGAGCTGGGAATGGCCACGTGATCCAACACTTTGCAGCCTTCGAAGATGCTTTGCCCCAACGAAGCCACAGAATCCGGAAGTGTAATTCTGGCTAAAGAACTGCAGCCGGCAAAAACGCAATCCCCAAGGTCAAGCTCCGAATCAGGCTCAGGCAGTGTCAAATCGGCTAAAGAGCTGCAGCCCTTAAAGGCCTCATCATCTACAAGTGTCACAGAGTCAGGAATCGTCACCCGGGCCAAAGAGCTGCAGCCAGCGAATGTGCTGGGTAAAACTTGGCGAAGAGCGTTGGGCATGGCGACAGCAAAGAACTGCAGCCAGAAAACGCCGTCTCTCCGATGTAAGCTACTGAATGAGGAATCGTCAAGCTTACCAACGAGCTGCATCCTTCAAAGGCAGAGGTTTCGATGCGAGTCAAAAAATCTGGAAGCACCACTGTTTCCAATGAGCTGCAGTCAGCAAAAGCAGCTTCTCCAATGCGAGTGACCGAATTTGGGATTGTCAAAAGTGCCAGAGAGTCGCAACCTTCGAAAGCACCGTCTCCTATGGACGTCACAGAGTCCGGGATGATGACCTTGAGTAATGATCTGCAGTCCTTGAACGCTTCATCATCAAGTTCCGTCACACACTCAAGGATGCTTACAACACGGAGGCATTCCTCACCGGAAACGTCCTCTTTACAGCAACACTCCACTGGAATGATGCTATACATCACCTGAAGATCTGCATCGGGGGAAATTCCGGCCTGCTCCAGTGTTTCCTGACCGGCGGTGTTCTGTCAACCCTTTTCAACCGAACATTCTGCATGAGCCTGGCTGCTACTTCCCAAAGCAAAGGAGGAAGTCAAGAAAACATGTAACAAACTAAACAAATTAGCTTCCTCTGCACCACCGAGCTTCATGTTCACCATTCACCTTACGGTCTCCCATAAACAGCTCGACTGTGGTCATGATGCGCGTCAGCTCATCTCCTATCTCCCACTCCTTCAGCCGGAGTTTCAACTCTAAGAGTGTCATTTCCTCGGACATACGAGCGCAATCGAGGTCCAATCACGTGGAGCAGTGACATCGCAAGGAAGCACCATGAAAACGACTTTAACATTGTGTGAGCATCCCCCGTTGACAACTATGATCGCGAACGCCCCTCCCTCACAAACCAAAAAAAATGAAAAATAACATGGCTGCTTGGCGCAAACCCAGCTTCCGGCAACACGTCCAGAACGATTTCCTCTCCATTTATCATCCGACGAACTAAGATGTTCATGGTTTAAACAGTCTGCTTCAGGTAAGGCTTGCACTGTCAAATGGTGCTTTTCCTACGAAGTCCCTGACACCATCCGTGGGAAACAGGGACCGCCAATATGTTATTCAATAGTCTTTTTGAAGTGAACTGATGTTCCCTTGTTGATGGTTTAGGGGCCCTTGGTGGAAATTTCCAAACAGGATGAAGTTCGAAGTCCGCTGCCTGCTAGCTCGCTGTGTTTGCTTTGAGCGTTCACCACCCTCTGAAAAAGCTGAGCACATTGCAGGTCGTCCTTGGGTTGAGTCCCCTTCAATGTGAGTGCGCAGCTTTCAGCTAGCTTGAGCCTGATCTCTGCAAAAGAACTGGTGAACGATGCAACCTTCCCACGGCAAGCCATCCCCAGTTGAGCCCGACAAGAACACTGAGGATTGCAGTTTTGGGCGGATTCTTCTCAAAACAATCTAGTTGCGCATCATCACCTGGAGAAGCTTCATCAAATTCCAAACGTGCATTACGATTCCCATCGGCTAGATGAGTGGCTCATGGGGTGTTTATGTAAGGGACATGAAAACGATGCTGTGGTAATATAATAGGACCGTTTGTGGTTGAAACGAGAGAAACATGACTCCAAACGAATCCTTCAGGAGTTTGATCCACCATATATAGTCCTGCACAAGTTCCCAATGTGCCATCCCATCGTTGAAGAATGTGTGCTGCCCATGCAAGAGGCAAAATCGCAAGGCAGGGGGGGCGGGACGGTTACCTCAATATTTACATAAATACATATACAATGTGTATGTATAATACGCCATGTATTAAGCCAAGATTAAAATACACAAATATATATACCTACAGCTTCCATTACCTTCTTTTTTTTGGGTTGCTAAAAAAAACATAGGTTTTTTTAAAAAAAGCAGGTTCTTAGAATTCATTATTTGTACATTGTGGTCTCATACCCTAAAAAGAAGGTCATGGATCATACCCAACATGACATGAGACAAGTGCAGCATGCTTCATTGCTCAAAAAGACTCAACATGCACATGCATGAAACTCCAACAAACAAACATGCCGTCCAGAAACCCACCCAGACACACCCAGACTCTTTTCTAAACCAGCAGCCCACCCCGTACAAAGGCTGCATATGCAGCGGCCGGTCCAATGAACGTGAAGCTACCTTTCGAATCGAAACTCGCCTAGACAGACGAGAAGCCTTGCCCACAAGATCCTCGTCCATTTGGCAACCCCACATAGTGGGGTTGCAGGCAGTCTTTACTGCCAACCCCTGTTGCTTCACCTCCAAAATGATGTGGTGAAAAATGTGTAATTTCGGGTACAACGGAAACAGCCACTGCTTGCCAGCTCGGAACATAGCATTGGCAAGGTGCGCATAGGTGTCCAAATAGGCCAGCCCCTGCTCCGACACGAAAACACATTCGTTCTCTGTCAAGAAAGCGCCAGCACGGTAAAGGAGACTGAACATTGCATTCATCCGATACGTAGCAGCACGACACTTCAAGAGCAACCCTTCTTGGTCCAAAGGTATCTGACCCAGCAAGTCAACCAGAAACTGCATGAAGTTCGTGGTGAGGGCACCTTTGTGCCAGTTGCCCATGGCACCACTTGCGTCGCCATAGCTCATCAGGTAAGGCGTGATTCGGCTGACATGGGCCTGTTTCTTGTTTCCAGCACACCATGCAAGGTACTTCGACGTCAGGAAATCAAACTTCTGTTCCAAATTGTCACATGGAAGGTAAGGCAATGTACACTGTAGCACACTGGCCACCCAAGAACGTCCAAAGCCCAAGTGGAACACATGCCAAATATCAGACTTGAAGAATCCAGCTGGAAATGACCGATCATGCACCAAATGACGAATCAGCGCAGGGTTCCTGACCCAAGGGAGTTTGACACCGACAGTGCTAAGCCATTGAGGTTTGTCCGTCGCAACCTCCTCAGCAGCGCACGACCGGGTTCCAGCAAGACAATACGGGCAGCAGCCTTTCGGGGGCCCACGCTCTTCGCCTCGCTTGGCCGTGGTGTTGTACGACCTGTAGAAATGGGCAGCTTTGGTCAAGTATGGAGCATCACCTTTGACCCCCAGAATAACTATTCTGAAGGTCTCCCCACCACGAGACTTGTCCACACACCCATTGTCCAGCAACTTCCGACATGACCTGGCCACATGGTCCAAAGCACTGTGGAACAGTTCAGGCTGCACATCGTAAGCTGTCTTTGGAATCGTGGATACAACAAACCGGGTGGTAAATGAATGCCCAGCAAAGTTGACATATAAAGGAGGACGGTCTCCTGCAGCCAAGGCTTGCCTTCTGACACGTTTCTCGTCATAGCCACGACCAAGAGCACTCTGCAGCGAAGTCACCAGCATGCCGCCACGCTTCAAAGTCCTGCCCTCATCGCCATGAATCAGGCAAGCAGCAGTTCTAGACAGGTCTATTCCCTGCATGTGGAATAGATCAAAGGAAGGGTTGACCTTTTCATAGGTCTGCCAAAACTCTGACCAATTGCAACGGGCTCCCTCGTAGTCACTGAGAGCGCACCCAGCCAGCACAGGCCAAAGACCCCTGTCCACAACAAACTGGAGCCACGACTCTGGAGAAATCCATGGGATCTCACACCCGTCACAATCTATGGTCCCCACTGGTATCTCTAACTTGGTCTTCTGTTTTTTCATGGTCCTATGAACATCTCGTTCAGAGTTTTTCACATGGCACTTAGCCCACTGTCGCACACCAACGTCAGCGGCCCTGCACTCACCCATGTCGTGGGCAACTGCTTCAGCAGTCAGGATCTGGCTGACGCAGCTGGCCTCGGCAACCGCGCAAGTACATTGAAAAGGATCCTCACTACCCCACCTGCCAGTCTCTAAAGCAAGGTGCACAGTAAAAACTTAGCTTCATCAAACCGCTGAACAATTGCAAAACAGGCGTGCGGAACATGGATTTGCATGAGGCACGCAAGGACACACAGTGCACGGACGCATGCTTTTGTTTCAATCCTTCAAGCATTGATGTCACCAAAACATGGTGCAAGAAAAGGATACCACCAAAAATTGCAAGGCATCACCGAATTGACCTCACTAATGCAATGAGGTTTTACTTGGCCCTACCCGTGCTTCTCACACGTAGGCCGGGAAATTTCCAAGACTTGTAAACAATATAGGTCAAATACGGACCGCTATCGACGTCTCGCATCGAATCCCCACCACTTCTCACATTCTTGCACCCTTGCATACCTCAGACGGAAGTAGCAGAAGATAGAGATAGCGTGTGGAAGGTAGGTGTGCTCAAACCAACAGTATTTGGTGAAAACTTGGAGCGCACAGAAATAATGGTAAGTATCGAAGACATTGCAAACAAGAAACCTCCAAAGCGGTCAATAAGAGCAGCTTCTAGGAAAGCAGGTCCATATGGATTTGAAGCTCCATAGATAACCAACATGTAGTCGAAAATATCCTTCGAGTATTTGTATCCAAAAGTTTCGTTGTTCCATCGTATGGACGCATCGTGAGTTATCCCGAACTTGAAGGTCAATGGTTTGTTCTTGGATACAAGGTCCTCAAACGTTTGGATGGCATGCTCCAAAATACGGCCAGCTGTGGCACTTGGCTTTGGCAGTGCAAGCAACAAGCACGGATCCAATTCAATCTTCCTGAATACATCCTGGGACCTGGGAAGGCTTCTAAGGTCAGGATGCTGTAGATAGCGATCTTCCCAAAGAAACGACGGTGGATCCTGTGGGTCACTTAGCTGAAAATCACTTTCAAAGGGTAGATGTTGGTAAGCCAACTCGGGTTCATTGACATTCACCGTGGCAGCAGTCTTCAATCGCTTAAGTGGTTGGTGTTGCCAAGCATATGGAACAACTGAATCCTTAGGTTGAACCGAAAAAGATACACAGCATCTCAAAGAACTATAGTTCAATTGTTTCAAACCACTCCTGACAAAATCTACAGCATACAGGTCAGGTCAGGCAAGAATCTGACCTGTGGCAGCTCAACAGTTCTATGAGCTCATCATCAGAGGACGGCTCCATGGCAGTGAGGGGGCAACTCAATCTATACGTTCTGGAAGTCCTGTTGCATGCACCATGGTTGTAAACCGCAATGGTTTTCACAAGTCGTCACAAAACGTCCCAGCAGTATAAGTGTTGGCACTTGGCTGTTTTCTTAGTCTTTGCAAAGACCTTTGGTTTCAGATGGTTTCAGCAGATGATGTCAGTTTCTGAGCCACAACACCCTCCAAGTACAGGGCCGGGCATGTCAGGGCAAGATCATAGGCAGCCGGCTCTCTGAGTGTCTGAGCTCATGGCTCCGTCACCGACATTCGCTGCAAAGCGCTTTGCAGACTTCCCAAGGCAACCTGGCAGCGAAAGGAAGAAGGATATGCTGGATGTTTTTTGGGGTGTGAATGGGATGGGTCCAAGAGCCGAGTGTATCTGCATTGTCAAAAGACTGGAACCCTTGCGAGCTCTTTCCGTTTTTCCCCAATCGCGTATTGGAGCCACGTTTGTCACTCCAAACCCCATTAAATGCCAATGGCGCATGCCTCTAGCACGGGCAAGATACAACACCTTTGAACTTGAAAGTATATGAGCTTTTTGAATAAACATATTTACCCATAGTCGTGTAGTTCGAGCGCCAAATCTAAATCATTTCATCTCCAAATTTGGATTGCACCTAAATAACGCAATCCCCGACTCAAGAAAAGACAGAATGCCCACTCACCCATAAGTGTGTCAAAGAGCTGACATTTGCAAACACACGAATGGGGAAAAATCAATCACTTCTCAGTTTTTACAGATTCCTCCGACTCCTTCTTCTTGAAGTGCTTCTTTGCAGACCTGGGGCAGCAAAAAAATAAACATGTCGCCATGCCAGCGTTTGGAATTTGCTTCGCAATGCTTGCAGTAAGGGCGACCAATGGATCCATGGGATTTCTGGACAAGTCTGACTTTGAGGCTCCAGCCGAATCTTGGCTTCATTCTGTGCTACTTTGGTGCACCTGAGCATGCAGGGGGTCCCTCATTGGATTCAACACTGCCATCCACAGAAAACAGACGCCATCGAGGCACACAAACGTAGATTGCTTCATCATGGCCTCAGCATCCTTGGACCACCTTGGCAAGAACAGCAGTTGTCCAAACATGGATATCGCTCTGACTAAACTATTTTTGTTGGTCTCAATCAAGAAAAGGTGTTGTGTTTGCCTTCATGCATCGTGATGCATCGGTTGCAATCAACAAATACAGATGAAACCAACTGTTGTTAAGCTACTGCTCATTGTGATCATCCCTTTCACCTTTGGCCACCATGTCGGACAATTTGTTGTACTCGGCGTCCAAGGTGACGAGGTCAGTGTTGAGCTGAATGATCGCCCTGGGCAGCAGGCCAAAGGCCAGGACGGAATCAACCCTTTGGAATTTGCAAATTCAGTCAAAGGCATGTCCATTCAGGCTAAGTGCTTCTTTGCAGTCGGGTCATCAGGATAGTTTTTCTGAAGGTCCGAGATCAAGGATCGCATCTTTGCGGATTTGGACAGCACAGATTCCACATGTTTGGCAAAGACATCCTTGGACCTTGCAGCCTGACACAAACACGTGCGCAGCGGTTGACATGCTGGCTGAACCAAGATCTAGAGGACATAGTTGCATCATGTAGGAGAGAAAACTAGATGTGACCTCAGCCTGAATAGAAAGGTGTTACTTGTTGAAGGTCATCCAACAACAGAAGGAGTTTTCGAGTAAATACATAGGTTTCTATGTGCCCAACCTGGGATGTTGCGCAAACTGCAGCACTCAGAGCAGCTTGGTTGCGAGCACGATTACTATCAAGTCGCTCCAAATCAACATCTTCAAGATCAGCCCCGCCATCCTCCTGGCAGGTGGGATTGGATGCAGCGGACCTGGCTGGCCGACTGGAGGAGCTCCACCCCAACAACAGCATGACTCTTGGGCTGAGCTGAAGTGTCAGTCCTGCATGCGCTCAACTTGTTGTTCACTGCGAATCTTCTCTTGCTGGCGGTTTCCGGTTTCACGGACCTCCACATAGTATTCATCTTCGCCTCCATATTTGCAGTGCCTGACAAGGGCCATGTTGATCTAGGTGCATGAGCCTTTAAGTCTTGCAGGGTTGCTTTTGGACTTATAGGGTAATACAGCATAGTATACACTTCCAAAGGGGCACAGAAGAAACCAAGCTGCTCACGGTCATGGAGTTACAGTTCTGAAATTATTGCCTTCGTTCGGTTTGTAATGCTCACAAAAATGATTTGCAGAGCCTCACCAAGTTGTCAGGATCCTGCTCACAACATTTGATTGCACCAGCCACCTTCTTCCTCGGGATGGTTACCAAGAAACATAATTGAGAGAAGAGGGTCCAGAAGCACGCACGGTCAATCAGTGATCAATCACTATAATATAGTTCTTACCTGACATTTGATCAAATTGCACCAAAGGGTCGCAGGCCATTTGAGAAGCTTCACCATATCTTCCTTTGAATACCACCCACAAGAAATATCAGACAACTCCTTGTCGCTCTTGGTCACCGTCTTGGTCTTGTACTTGATGAAGCGCTCCTATACCAGGTGAAGCAACGACATCAAGCACAGCGCCCTCTGGAGCTACAGAGACACCTCAATGCACCTATAGACACTTGGCCAACAAGTCAGGAAAAGGCGTTTGGGACTGGCTGCCTTGTCGAAGTTGCACGCTTGGAACTGGCGAGCTAAGAGCAAATGATCACCGTTCTTCCACTCATCATGCAGCCATTGGGGTACATTGAGTTTACCCCCCTTCTTCTCTTCACAGAGACGGCGGAGTTTCGCCTTGAGAGCATTGTCTTCCTTACTCTCACAAACATGAAGCAGTTCAGGCACATGTAACAAACAGCCAAGTGTTGTGGAACTAGGAGCTATGCAGGCAGGAAGAGACATGGAAATAGAATAGAAATTACTCTATAAATTGAGTAAAGTCTCCAACCTGGCCTTCTTGGCCTGATTTAGCACATCATCCAAAGAGGAATCCAACTCACCAGATTCAGCCTTGTTAGTGCTATGGTCGGCACCGCCACCACTCCCCTCATTGGTTTCCAGAGGACGCTTCTGAGCACCCTCCTGGACCCCACCGGCAGCCTTGACTGGGACCGTATTCCCGAGAAGTTGCACCGCGACTTCAGGTGCAAGCTCACCATTGCGCAGCATTTCCACGATGCGAAGAGTTACCTTGCAACGTGGCAGGTTGGGTTGCGCTGTGGAGTTGTTTCAACATCGGGAAGCCCCATGCGACGATATGGCCATGTATTGGACATGAAGGTCACACCCACAACTACAATTTACAGTTTCTATTTGGGCCAACCCTGAGACAAGTGCCCAACACCAAACAACTTAGAGACTGTCGGCTTGCATCAAGGGTCTTCTTCATGAACTGCCGACGATTGCAAGGATGGTGCTGGGGACCCTGGGGAGGCGATCGAAGTGGAGGCTTCAGGTGAGGTCAATGACTTAGAGAGCTCCTCTTCTGATGCAGGCAGCGTGTCGTCGTCCCAAATCTGCACCTTCTTGCCGTTCTGCGGAGTAGCCTCAGAAATAATTTCTGGAAGGTCAACCCAACAATCAAGAGACCCTGGGGCAACCTCCCAGTCCTTCAAGAAGGTAAGAACTCAATTCATCTGTAGTTGGGATCAAAATGACACCGATCGAAATGCAGTCAAGAAACCTGTGACTGCATCTCGTTGGCCAAGTCCTCCAAGGCAAGAGCCTTGGCCCAAGCAGGTTGTTTGGAGAAGGGGCAACATCATGTGCATGTTTGCGGAGGGTGACTTGTTTGGATCAACATGTTTTTGGTGATCACTACCAACCCCTACCAATTGGCAGAGTGAGTAGGCAAGGCCTCTTTCTGTAGTAGCCATCCCAAATGAGGCCCAGGCAGAACTTTTCTGAGCTTCCAAATCGGCAAGTTGCCGTTCCAAGTCCTGCAACATGTGGATCGAGGCATAAACCTTGCGGAGCTATGCAGAGTTGCTGGTTTATGTGGGAATCCTGACCGCATTTCTCTAAAGTCATTTCTAGCAGATGTTTTTACTCACAACCCCCCTCCCACGATAGAGCGGATCGATCCTCTAGCTCAGCCACATCATCGGGTAGCTTCCCGTCTGCATCAAACAGTATATGGGACAGGCCACGGCTCAGCTCACTCGTGGAGTTGACGCGGGAAACCATGGTGTGCTGAGAGTCAGAGCGGCCGAACGACATGTACGTACTGTATGACCTTTGGGCACTACGCACTTGTTTGGGCAACTGACCCAAACAGCCAAAACACCTCAGCGGTCAAGATCATACAGCTCACCTGCACCAAGAAAAGCATTTGTGAAGCGTAACAGTCCGACACCTGCGCATCACAGTTTAGACTCGTGTTGGTTGTTCCTCAAGACCAAGTGGGACGCACGATTTTGTCCATAATGATCGATCAAGCCCGACTAATTGTGAACATATGTTCTGAATTGAGCTCTAAAGTCTCTGTTGTCAAAAGCTCGGACCCGATGCAAAATGTATATTTTCCGACTAAATCTGATTGAATCCATAAAAAAACATCATAAAATTTAATCAAGAATCTCATGAAAAAAAACATAGGTTTTTTTAAAAAATACCCATAATTTTTTATGGGTATTTTACGCCAAATTATGGGTATATTACGGATAGGTTACGGGTCTCCAAGATTACGGGTAGATTACGGGTATATGGTTACGGTTTCATTACGATGGATTATGGGTGACTACGGTTCACGAACAAAAAAACATAGGTTTTTCTATTGAATTATGGGTATTTTTGTTTTTCAATTACGGGTTCGTTACGGTCGGATACGGTTGGTTACGGGTTACGGCAAATTATGGGTAGAAAACTCAACTTAGCCAATCCGACCATGATGTCACCAACTTGGTTCCATTATTTTCCATGCTTTCGCTTTCAGTTCCGAACAACAACAGAGCAGGGATGGTGAACCTCTCGGAACCTAAAGCTTCTTTGGCACCAACTCCCGAAAAGATGGAGGGATCTTCAAATAATTGCCTCCCCGAAGATAGTGGCACACAGATGTCAAGTATGCCTCTGACCACAAATCTTCAAATGTCATGGAACTGAAAGTGCTCTCAGCGCTGGGGGTCGACTCCGGCAGCTCAGGAATGCCTTTCTTCTCGGAGATCAGATCGTTCATGAGGGTGGCCATTTTCTGTCCGAACTTTGCAGGATAGTTCCTGAGCCCCGGCAGCAATTCTGGACCTACCTGCTTTTTCTGAAGGGCAGAATCCTTCCTTGCATGTTTTACTTTTAGCTTGGCATCTACCAGGAATCCAAAGTGGTTCGCAAACATGGCCTACAAACCGGAAGGAGTGATTCACCAGTATACAGAATTGCTAGGTCTCTTGGGTCCAACGATGTCCAAAAGCTGTGTTTCAAACCTCAATGCTTTGGAAAAAGTAAGACCCGAACTCACTGCCACGTAGCCTGGAGTTTCCTTTCCATCGGGCTTTTCCATTGGAGTCCACATACTTGTCAACAGGTCATGGGACTTCCCCATGGTTTTCAAAACCCCCTTCCTCTTCTCCCAGCCCCGGAGCTTTCCCGCATCCAATCTGGCAACATGCCGCGAGTTGCTGAAGGCATAATGCCTTTTGGGAGTCGGGCTTCCATAGTGGAGCATGTACCAGCAGGTTTTGTGCACCTGAGTCGGATTGCAAACTGGGGCCCTCTCATTCACGACCAATTTCAAGTGAAGGTCAGAACATGTAGTTTTACACCATCAGGAGGCGCCTACATATTCTTGAAAGCTTTCCAGTGTGCAATGTGTTTATTGATTGACAATTCGGGTCAGTCGGTAACAGAGAAATGTAATGCAATGCCCAGGAGCCCTCCACCCACCCAAAAATTCTCTGAGAATGCTATGTGTTTGGTTTGGTACTGTTCATTACTACCACCAGCATGCCCATCAAAAAAGCACAAAACCTGGCCAAGCTAGTTCTCCAGCCCTCCCACACAAGACTACAGAGCTTGAAGCCTTCCGCACGTATTCCGAACCAAGAATGCATATCTTAGGCCTTTGATGGATACACAGCATGCAACTTGGCACAGCAGGGAATGATTTTTGTCAAGGAACCGCGGTTGGGCCTCCATGTTTCTGCAGCATACAGACCAGTTCACGGAAACGAGGGTAGAACTGAAAATAACTCGAGAAGGGCTGTTCCAAGATGATTGTGGCATTGAGACATACTGCCACCATCATCAATAGGATCATCCTTAAGAAAGGAAACCCTTTGCAGGTTGGTGAGACAAAAGAACCAGAATGCAAACAAAAGAAACTCAATCCATTCTACAACCAATCCCATAAGCACCCCACTGAACAGCAAACAGTGCTTGCGAGGTTCCGGCTTCCAAGGCAGTTGCCATCTCTAACACTTTTATATTCACAGTTTCCAATGGAAGAACATGCTGAGCGACCTGATGTGCCTGCATTGACCGATGTCCATGTGGAACACTTAAGGCCAAAAAAGGCCACCCATCCCTGGATCCAATCTCCTCGCAGCATCATAGCCAGCGCAGTCCTTGCAAGCGGCGTGCGATAGAAAGGAATCAAGGGGGTTGACATTCCAAACCCATACAGGAATGTCAAGAAGAATTGCAACTATGAGTTGAAGACTAGACTCACAAAGCCCGCATCACTGCACAAATCCATTGGATTTTGACGATCAGGTTCAGATTCCATGTACACCAAGTCCAAACGAGCTGACCGATAGTTGGCCATGCGAGCATTACGGGTTACTTCCGCTTGGCCAGCAAAAGTTTCCACCAAGGCGAAGGTGCTGTGGTCCTGCAACAAGCTGGGGATGAGCAGGAATTAATATATATTGTTACATATAGGCAAGCTTGTCCAAATTTGTTGACCTAATCAACAGTCCTGCCAACTCTTGGAGGGAATGTCCGTCCATACAACCAGGAGAACTGCAAAGACCAGTGCCTAAAGGTGAAAACACAGCCGAGACCAATCCGCGTTGCTGCTGAGGGTCTCTCATGAACAGTGATATGATACACTCGGACATGCGCATGCAAAAAAAACAACTTGGAACTGGGTCACGGTTTAATAGTGCGTCCAATTAACCTTTGGCGCTCCAAGGGCTTTCAGCCGCCAGCATAGCTTGTTCACAAAATCATCACACCACGCCATGTGCACCAACCCCGCGCAGCTGAGAGACTGTCAACACCCCCAAACGAACATGATTGTTTTGAGGAGGTATCCCATGGAAACCTGGTTCATGGCAAATCCACACAGTTGGATCGAGTGGTGTGGATGCTTGATCATGCTTGAGGCACAATCAGCAGTGAGGCTTTGATGCATCCGTTGCACCACAGCTGCAAGGAGCACACAAGTTCACCCGAAGATCAGCCGGATTGAATGCAGTTGCTTGCGCTGCCTTTCGAACCCTCGAAAAAATGACACATGATGATACATGTTTCTGGCTGTGGCCAGAGGAGGAAAACAACATATCCTTGTTTGCTTGACCAGGGTTGCATGCTCCCATGCACCTCAAGAAGAAAAAGGCCTCCAACTCATTCCCAACCTGCCAACCCGTCTCAACCTTATATAAACATAGCCAGTGGCACTGGCATCATCCTTGAGCAAGCCCAACTTCACAGCCCACCGATTGCCTTTGAGGGAAGGCATAGACGGTCACCAGGCCTGGGCCGTTGGAGTAGGAGAGCCAACTGCGCTGGGACATGGACATGGAAGGATTGTAATCAGCAAGGGTGGTTACCCAACAAATGAAGTAGACTTCATGTTTTTAAATGTGTTGGAAGACCTGTAGAGAAGTTTCAGCCTTGAGCTTGGGGCCTGGATGAACCAATCCACATGTCATCCACTTCAGTTCCGAAATGAACATGTCACAAGTGCAAAGCAGGTTGCGACGGTGGGCAACAAGTCTTTTCTCACACTTTGCGCAAGCTTTGATGTGAGGCTTTCCCCACCAATCGCAAATTGCCGGTGTTGACCATCCCCCACTCTAGTGTAACTCAGTGGGCATTACACACATGGTAGAGGCTATAGGGTGGACAAGTCACTGCCAGTTGTTTCCAGATAGCCAATTTTGGAAGCTGCAAGACAATACACAACCATGTTCGTCCGGTCTCAACAACAAGGCATAGGCATTGTCAAAAAACGAGCCTTTCCAGCTTTTATGTTTAATGGCCTGCCACCCCTTCCCACCATGTAACCCCTATGGCCAAAGCTAAGGCAATGCGTTCGCTCCTACGCTACCACTGGGATCTGGACTGATGCTCGCTTGACTGTGCGTTTGGTTCTTGATTACTGCGGGTGGGTCCATCATTGTTAGAAATAGCAAAACCATCATACATATAAGCTAGACATTGGTAGTTGGCCCAACATTAACAAAAGCATCATCCAAACCCACTTCACTTCTTTCCGTTGTTTGCGGAAACCTGGCTCATTGCCACATTGGCGTTGTACTTAAAAGACATGAACTTAGCTTGAACCAAGCTGTTCGGGTCCTCGTATTTCTCAATCTCTTCATTTGGTTGCTCACCCAACCAGGCAGCCTAAGTTCCACACACCATGGTGTGAGGATGGGAGGGTGTGTAGATGCAGGGCAGCAAAACCACCATCCCCAGAACTTCATGTATGTCTGAGCGTTTGGGAATCCGGAAGGGCCCTACAAAAGGAACAATGGAAACCATCGTATCCACCAACCCGGCCTTTTTGGTGTTTGTGGTATATTGTTTGCAAGTTGCACAGGGTTTCTTAAGAGAAGATGCAGCCAGGAAACCATCAAAGAAGCGGAAACATAGGCAGCCACACAACCAGCATTGAAGCTTGGTGCCGTGCCACAGCGCCCGAAGTAGAAGATCTCTGAGAAAGCTTTCCAACCCTCAAGCTTGACCTTCACCCCACATGCCTGCTTCTGCAAGTAAGGGTTCAAGTAGGACTTGGTGAACTTCTTTTGGACCTTGCCGTACAAGTACTTCTTCAGGGCATCAAATGGCATGTCCTGGCAGACCTTGGCATGCTGCATGAGAATCCCTTGCACCTGAGCATCTTCTTGCGGAGAAGACTGCATCGTTTGAAGCTCTGCCTTCTTGCGTCGCCTGACCTCCTTCTTGGCAAAAGGGGATAGTTCCGGCTTCTTCTTACCTTTGCCATGAGTCACCTCTGCAGATGCCCCTGACTTGGCTGCCGCCCTCGATGGTTTTTGCGGGTGTGATTTCCTCCAGCGGCTGGGCTTGTCGTCTTCAAACATCTGCTGAAGCAGAGCAGCCTTTTTCGCCTCGATGGATTCTTCATCATCAGGCTTCACCTTTTCCTCACCCTCTCCATCCGATTGGAAAAGCTTTCTTTTGGGAGTAGCAACTTCATCATCGTCTTCATGGGGCTCCTTACCCTTGGCACGAGGAGCACCCTTGGCCTTTGCTTTGCTTTTCCCCTTAGGCTTTGGCTCGGCTTTCGCCTTAGCTTCCACCTGAGCTTTCAGCTCCGGCTCAGCCACTTCACTTTGCTTCAACCTCCTCCTCTTCTGTGGAGGCTGACCATCATTCCCACCAGGACCATCGGCTGCACCTGCCACTTTGGCCGGCTCCTCTGGCATCTCGGCCGGCTTTTCTGGAGCATCATCAGCAAGGCCTTTTGCAGCCTTCGCCTTGCCTTTTGGCTTTGCTTTCGCTGCCTTCTCAAGCTTCTTAGCATCCTGCTCTGCCTTCTTGGCAGCCTTTTTGGCCTCTGCTGCTGCCTTTTTCTCAGCCTGTTGTTTTTCTTTCTCTGCCTTCTTCTCAGCTTGTTTGGCCTCTTGTTCCTTCTTCTTTGCTTCCTTCAGCTTCAGCTGGTCACGGCGGGTCAGCACCTGCAGCGGGATTGCGGCGCATGCCATCAGGACTCAGTTGCGCCAATACTGCTTTGCAAAAACTGAATGTTGAAATTATGTCTGCATAGATGATTGTTTTGTTTTTCTCCTACAAATGAACGATGATGATTCGAAGAACTCAACACTGCCTGACCATGTCTACCTCCAACCCCCCCAAACCCACCAACCTCCGCAGGCGTAGGCTCTGCAGGAGACTTGGACTCTTCGGACAACTTGGTTGGTGGATCAGGTTCCCTTTCATCACCTTCATCTTCCAAGGGCATTGCCATGCTAAAGGCGTGCTCCTCAACTAGCTGGGTATCCTCTGTGTCACTCGCTGGAATCACAGGACGGGCCCCTGCAGGGATTGGGCTGAAGAACAATACCACATCTATCAATCAATCTCTATATCCTGATAGTTGAAACCTGTCACTTGAACTCATTGTTTTCCTGGATGCCTGGAGCTGCAAGTGATTACTTGCATGTACGTCATGTGTAAATTCATCTTTTCTGCAAGTCATCTCATGTGTTTATATTTGTCTTCTTGTTTTTAAAGGAAAGGCAGCTTTAATACAAGCCTTGTTTGTTGGAAGGGTGGAAGCCAGTGTTTTTTCCAACCTGCATGCGCGCTTAATCTTAAAGAGTTTTTGAGGAACCCCACCTTTGCGTGGAATGGCCGCAGGAGGCTTCATAGTTTCCTGTGGATCCACTGGAGAAGGCACAGTCTCAGCCGGGTCTTTCCTGAGTACTCCACGGTGCAAACAGGGACCCAGATTCAGAACCATGGCCCTCCCAGCCCAGTATTTGATTCCTGACGATAGACTAAACGAGCAAGTATTTACCAGTTCCAGGGTGCATGAGTAGATGGAATTTGTTGGGCCCGCTGCCACCGGTCACACCCCTGAACTAAGAAAAGCGTCAACGACGAGTTGGAGCGCACAATGGCATTCTTCCTCTGGAGCTCTGCCTTCTTCTGTGCGATCTGCTCCAGAAGCTCCGACTTGCGCCTCGCAAGTTCAGCACCTCGGCCAAATAGAGCCAGGACTGGGAAGGGTTTCAGTGGTTTAGACTTAGCACCAAAGTGAGAAGAAAGGAGCATGCATGCATTGTTGATATCACAATATTGCTGATTTAATACGGGGCTCAACGACAAACCTCCAATCCGCAAATCTTGCACTTTAGAGGGGCAGCTGAAGAAGATGGCGTCGTTCCATCCAACCAGCGTTTGAACACCTCAAACTCGTTCTTGGCCTGGGTATCCTCATCCTCATACTCCTCCTCCTTTTCATCTTCAGCTGTCGCCGGGGACCGCTTGCAAGATAGCATATACTGGTCAATGGCCTCCTAAACGGGGTGAACCGCTGAACATTGACCAGACCATGCCATATAATGGGAACCCCCCCCCACAGCACCACACATTACCAACAAATATAATCATAGTGCCCATGAACGCCAGTTCTTCGTTGAATACCAATACCAATGCCCCTCAACCCCCCAGCAAGTTCCAGTGTCCTGGAGGCCAGGGTCCAGTATGAGCAGCAGTTCATGAAAGCCTAGCAGGCAACATTTTATTGACAGTATTGAGCCCATTGAACTCCCTTTTAGTTCCACAACTTTGGGTGAACCCAGCTTTCTCAGGTGACTATATCAAATCGTGGGTGAACCGTACACGCATTAACGATGAAACCCAAAAACTGTTTTGGTGTGGCCCATCTCCTTGGTGACTTCCTTTCTGTGAGCACGGCGCTTCACAAGCCCAGCCAACCGCTTCAACTCCATACTAGCTTGGTAGACATCCTTATCTCCAGGAGTAAGGCCACACTTCTCATAGAGAGTACGAATTTCTACCTTCAAATCATCCAGATGTGGTAGGCGGAACTTCTCTGCTTTGTTCAAGCGGTCGAGTACGGGCCGCAGCACCATTGCGTTGGCTACCGCATTTAGACGGCTGGGAACACAAAATTGTTCACCAACTTGCTTCTCCAACAGCATCTTCGAGGTTCGCAAGCGGTTGCGAGGATCGGCCTGTCTCTCCCACTCAAGGGACAGCCACAAGCAATCCATAGCAGCACCGGCACCTCCCATCTATAGGACCAGCCCAGTTCAACAGAGGCTTTTGTTGAGAAACCTTGAACCCGAAATGCTGTTTTAAAAAATCAAGTTTAAGGTATGACCCAACAGTTCATCTCTGGAATGCCATGGTGTCTCAAAGCAGTGGCTTCCGAACCGTGATCTCAATCTAAGGCCAACAGATTTGTGCCACACACTCCGCCAGCCAGAAAATTGAGGGCCCCGGCTGTTTGCGAGTGGCAGGGTAGAGCAAGTGATCCATCATCACATGGGCCGCGATTCGCACTGGTGGTATACTGTATAATGGTTCTTTGTACCCACTCAAGTGTGTCCAGATCGAAGTCTTGTCCCAAGTTGGACTGATCATTGGGTTTTTGGATCAGTACAGTTCGCATCAAAGAGGGACTTTGATTGAAAGAACAGCTCTATCAGTTCAGGTTTCCCTCAAAATTCTATTGCAAACAGCCCTGCTCATCCCTGAGCCACTCCAGGCTCATCCCTGAGCCACTCCAGATGATGCTTCGATCACCACCTTCGACGATTCGACGGCCCCGGAAGGGATGGTTGCTCAATCTGTCTGAATCTTATACCCAACTTCAAGTCCCCAAACAGTCTCAAAACATCTTAAAACAATGATATACAAAAAAACATATGTTTTTTTTTGAAAAAACCTATGTTTTTTTATCATCACCAAAAAAAACCTAGGTTTCTAGTTTTCCACCCTAAAAAAGTTGGGTATAAGGTTCAGTAGGTATATATATAGAAGTCCATGCAACAGAGATAAGAAGTCCATGGACAAGAAAACTAGGACGGTCGTGGATTTGTGGTCTTAGCTAAACTATATACTCTTCGGGTCGCGGCGCAAGGAAATGCCGCCACGGCACATCACGGCGTCCCAGGTCTGCTTGGGGGAGCTGGTCGCCTGTCTTCCATCACGTCGTTCGGAGTTTCGAGGCGCGCTTGGAGTGGAACCCGCTCCACCCCAACAAAGTCAGTGGAAGCGAATGAAGAGTTGAGAAAAACCCGAGGGTGGTGGCAAATCGATCAGAAGTCATTGTCATTTTCTTGCGCCCCCAATGGCTCCCAAAGGTGGTGGCAAATGGAGTCAACGCCAGAGGCAAAAGCCCGAAACAAACGCGCTGCATCTTCATCTTCATCTGCCGGGTTGAGGATGACAGGCATCCCCCGAGAATTGCACTCCCATCTGGATCGGAAGTCTTCCGAAGCAAAATAAAGTTCGGAGATTCCTTCGACTGTGTCTGTAGACTTTACAGTTCTCTTACAGGCACCAAAAACGACCAAATTTCGAAGAGATCATCAACACGAAACGGCTTCTGCTTTGTCTGCCCCACAGGGTCGAAAAGTAAACAGCAGGCTGCATGGTCAACATACCGTTGTTACCTTAGTCTTCAGTTGCGGACAAAAGCGGCCGCAGCTGCTATCAGCTGGATGGCAATACTTCAAACAATGGCCCAGCCACGTCATTGGTTGGGTTGATCGGCGGTCATGCGCACTGCCTGGAACCGGAAAACATTTGACACCACGGCAAGCCATAATTACCAGTTGAGGAACAACAACGGTGATCAGTTCTTGGATTGATCAAGTTCATCGAAACTGACCAAAACTGTCACAACTGTCTTGAGTTCATGGAAAAGCCGGTGAGTTCTGTCCAAAAAAGAATACGTTGCAAAGCCGTGACCTCTTCTCATGCCGAACAAAAAGAAGCGAGCGCAGCTGGAACCAAAGCACATGTGCCCCGCCCAACGATGTCTGAGATGCTCGCTGAGACGCCTGCTGAGTGTCGATCAAGGACCTCATACACAGAAGCGTGAGGCTCGATGAATCCAACTTTAGTTTGTTCATCTCCGCTCCATGAATCACCATAAGGTGCGTGATGTTCTCAGACAAAAAAAACGTGTGGTCCCTTGAACACATGAAGAGCACCAACACCACACAACTCTTTCATGGTATGGCAACTTAACTGATTTTGGATACTTGACATGGGATGACCGGTCAATATCAAAACTCTGGAGTCTGACCTTGGGCAAATGAGTAGCATGTGCGGCTGCTGTAGCACCTGCATAGATGGACCTGCATAGTTTGGGGATGTTTGGGGCATCCCAAAAAACCAAGCAGAAAGCCCGGCAGTCTTCATGATCCAACACCTCCCCGCCTCGGTGAAGGCTCCAACGGACCGACCTCATGGACCCTGGACCCTTCCGGATGCTCCGTCCTCCAGCCGGAGGGGTCCGGTCCAGTCCGGTCGAGCTGCTGTTGGCAGAAGACATGGAACGACCTGCGCGGAGCAAGATCTCCCAGGTAGATCGACCCAAAAATGGCACCCTGATCAATCTCATACGCATCCCGTGACTAAGAAAGGTATCACCTGGCATGAGTTGTCACGTAGTTAGGATCGGGTCATTTTGTACAGATATGTTGCATGTGCAGTGGTTATATACCCCAACTCCCTGGTACCCACCATTGGTGAAGGACCACGGGAAGCGCCAGACTGGATGCGCAAGTGACGTCGGTGGATCGACTGTCAAAAAAAGATGTTGGACCTGCGGCGCCCTGCGGCTTTTAAGGCCTTTGAGGGCTCCCTTGGCCTTTCCCAAACTCTTGAGCCCAGGGGAGAGGCACCGCACCCCGCCACAACGCCCAAACACTGTCTGCAGCTGGTGTGCGTGCCGGCTTTGGCCGTGCTTGTTGCGTTGCAATTCCGGCCCAACTCTAGTGCAACTCTCCAAATTGTTTTTGCGAACACATAAACATTTTTCAACAAAAAGTGAATTCTGCTTGGCTGGTGGCAGAGTGAGTTGGAAGTTCAAAGTCGTTCAGGGCGTATTCAACATCTTCTTTCACGATGCTGAAAGATGGGCACAGCCAACAGCCCAGCTGCTGTGCAATGATGGGTGGCAGCCACAAAGACTTTGTAAAGTGAACGTCTACTTCTGCAAGCTCTTCATGCAGCTCCTTGGCCACAGGCTCCATGAGCAAAAACCGTTCTTGCTCTTTGCAGAATTTTTGTGGGTCCAGCTCTTTCCAAAGACGTAGCAATAAGGAAATGCCTCAGATCCGGAAAAACTCGTCTAATACGATTCCTAGATAATCTTTGCCGGCAGTCTAATCATCGACCACAGGAAGCTGCCGACAACCACACCCCGCAGCAGGACCAAAGAAAAAATCCAACACCGGCAAGTCATTACGGAAGCTGGCGATTCAGGAGCCCATCATGCCCATCATCATCTCTTAGCTGTTAGCCATGCTCTTGGAATCCTTTGGAAGAGTGAAAAGCATCACGAATCACTTGAGAAGGCAGGTACCACTGGCACTGATGTGGCCACTCTCCCCTGCAACCACGTAAGCGCGGGCCAAGCCTTTCACTTTTCCGCCGCACAAATTGAACTCATATTGCATGCCCTCTGCCTCACCATAAATGACACAACACACACAGGTGAGTAGAGTACCTAGAACTCTTGAAGCCCAGCCTCTTGGTGAGTAGAGTGCAGGAGCAGGGCATCTGTGCAAACATCGCACTCCCGGAAGCACAGCTCCTGCGACGTTTTGCCCCGACCTTGTCCAAAACCACTCGCAAGTTAGAACACCAGTCCCGCCTTTGGCAAAGGCCATAGGCGCTGGCCTCAACCCAAGGATTTGCGGAAAAAGCTGTTGAAGAGCAGTGGATAATGATTCCTGGTTTCTGGTATATCATCACCGAAGGGTGAAGAGTGAAAAGAGTGAAGGGCAAAAACTATTTTGTGATTTGCTCCCTCGCTGATGGCATATTTGGTTGGGTTTGCGACACATAAATCGACAAAGGCTTTACATGCCCAAGAGCAAACTAACCATCAGTTCAGCATAATAAACTCGACTCCACTTGCTGCGCGTGGAGTCGAGCTTCAAAACGTTGTCCGCAAACAATCCGTCTCAAAAAACATGTGACCCCCCATGTGACCCCTGTTGGTGCCCGGTGTATACACAAATGTATGCTTTGGAGATGTTTTGTGGTTGTTATGTTTTTTGTTGGATGGCCATGGTGGTGCCTTGCTTCGAGATTCGAGAGGTCTTCAATTGGAATTGTTTATATTTTTGGGGGGGGCAGGGGGGGTTCGGGTGGCTGTCCGTGGTCGACACGCGTCGGGAAAGGGTCTGACACATCGTTCCTTCGTTGCTCAGGTGTCAGTCAAGCACAGTTTGGCATGTTCGGCTCACTTTTGTTCCATCTTCTCTTTGATGCCACGAAGTTGGCCAGTCGAACTTGTGGAAGTGTGAAGATGGCCTTGACTATGTTTATTGCATCTCATTGCCACCTCTCATGGTCTGATTTCATGATCAAATCGGGTTCAGCATGGTCCAACTGAGTGCGATCAAACGAATTGCCCTTCGTGCAACCCCCTGACCGGTCTCGGGACCGGTGCAGGACGGCGAGGGTACCGGTTGGCCATCATGCCATTGTTGTAATCACATATATGGGGTATATCCCATTACCAGTAACAGTGGATGATGATGGTTAGCAAGGGCCTTTCTCAAACAATAATTATCTTTTACCGACTGGTAATGGGCTACACCCTGTAATATGTTATTGTATTTCAATGTTACTTATATTCTTTGCTTCACAAGAGCGATGGCCTCCAACCTACTAAGATCTACTATAGTGATGGCCTCCAAGCTAAAAGCAAACTATATAGTTATAGACATATGCATTGCATATTAATATTAAGTTCCGGTGGTTCGACTGGTTCCGGAAGGTGGGACTCCCACCGTCGTTCGGAGAAGCACCACCACACCGCACCACCGCACCACCCCTTGGTGACTGTGAGTTCCAAAGGGCTCTTTATGCGTCGCTTTGCCACGTGGTGCTGCAATGTGCTGTTGCTGCGCTACACTTGCTTCTGGCACACGAGTGGGCAAAACTGAGTTTCGGATGTCGTTGTGCCGCGCGGTTTTGCGCCACAAGCAGTGATGCAACATCACAATCAAGGGTTCAACACGAC